AGCTGCTGGTGTAGGTATATATATACATACTTTTTTAAGGGGAGGAGCAGCAGAAAAACGAACAAAAGAACGAATAAGAGTAATTGCTTCCTTATATAATAAAGGAGCAGCAGGAGGAGACAATGCATGCAAAGGGAAGCAATAACCCCTAAAATAATAATGATCTAATACCTGTATACATATATATATACACATAATAAAAAGGAGACAAATAAATAAATAAATAAATAAATAAATAAATAAATAAATAAATAAGGAGACAATTAATAAATAAAAGGAGACAATTAATTAAAAGGAGACAACAAAAAGAATATTATTTATTATACCTATTATATAACTAATTGTTATGTTATCCCTGGTGTCTCCCTATACTACTACTACATGCATGCAAATATGCATGCATGCATGGATGCATGCATGCAAATTGCATGCATGGATATTTTGGGGCTGGATAATTGAATACCTGTCTAGCAGACCATCTTTTTTTTGGATCTTTTTGCAGTACTCCCTGTAAGACTTGTAATAGACCATTATAATAGAAAGGTTTATAGATATCTGCATGCCAATCAATATCTTGATGAGCAGCAATATACATAAATTGTGTATCTTGTCCATCAGCAGCAGCAGCAGCAGCAGCAGCAGCAAATGGTAAATATCCTGTATATACTACATGCAGCAGCACCCCTGCACTCCATATATCACATTTACTATTATAAGGAAGACGTGGTGCCCGTAATACTATCTCAGGTGCTGCATATAACGGAGTCCCTGTACGCACCACCAGCAGCAGCAGCAGCAGCAGCAGCAGCAGCAAGTGCAGCAAGTGCAGCAAGTGCAGCAAGTGTAGTAGCAATAGCAGCAGAAGAGGAGGAGATATGAATACATATATATATGTGTATATATATTATTATTTATTTATGTTTATTGTATTATATTACTATAGGGAACAAATTAATTAATTAATATTATTTATTTATTTATTTATTTATTTATTTATTTATTTATTTATTTATTTATTTATTTATTTATTTATTAATACCTGCTCTTGTATATAAGAAGGAGTTATGACTACCATGTGCAGATCTCTCGGGTGTATCATCAGTTGCTGTTATTGCCTCTAATGCAGCAACTAGCTCAGAAGAAGGAAGTAAATAACGCATGCATGCATCTGGATCTGTTGTACTTGGATCTATACATCCCGATCCCATCGATCCCGATCCCATCGATCCCACCGATCCCATCGATCCCACCGATCCCACCGATCCCATCGATCCCATCGATCCCATCGATCCCATCGATCCCGATCTCCTAGATCGTATCCCTGATCCATCATTTCCTGTCCCTACTTCTGCTGCAGCTGCAGCTTCCCCACCATCTGGTTCACCATTACCATCACCAGCAGGAGCAGCAGGAGGAGCAGCAGGAGGAGCAGCAGGAGGAGCAGCAGGAGCAGCAGCAGGAGGAGGAGGAGGAGGAGGTATATTTAGATTAGCAAGACCAAAATCTAATAATTTTAATTCAGCATCTAATGAATTTGATGTCCATACAAAATTATCTGGCTTAACATCACGATGGACTATGTTACGGTCATGGAGGTAACACAGGGCCTAAGGAAGGAGACACAGGGGAGAGGAGACACAGGGGAGAGGAGACACGCTTAACATCACGAAGAACTATATTACGGTCATGGAGGTAACAAAGGGCCTATAAAAAGGAGACACAGAGGAGGAGACAGAAAAAGGAGACAGAGGAGGAGACACATAAGGAGACAGAGGAGGAGACAGAGGAGGAGATACATAATAAGGGAGACACAAGAGGAGACACTATGGATGTCCATACAAAATTATCTGGATTAATATCACGATGGACTATGTTACGGTCATGGAGGTAACACAGAGCCTAAGGAAGGAGACAGAGAAAGGAGACACAGGGGAGGAGACAGAGGAGGAGACAGGGGAGAGGAGACACATAAGGAGAGACAGAGGAGGAGACAGAGGAGGAGACACTTAATAAAGGAGGAGACAGAGGAGGAGACACAAGAGGAGAGACATAACATTATCACGATGAACTACATTACGATCATGGAGGTAAGACAGAGGGCCTAAGAAAGGAGACACAAAAAGGAGACAGAGGAGGAGACACAAAAGGAGACACTTAATAAAGGAGGAGACAGAGGAGGAGACAGAGGAGGAGACAGAGGAGGAGACAGAGGAGGAGACAGAGGAGGAGACAG